ATGTGGGTTTGGCGGCTCTGGACTCTCTAGCTTGCCGGTGCCCAGCTTGCAGAGTTTAGTTTTGTGAGCTCGGCGGCACTGCTTCAGGCGTGACGATACTGAACCTCAGACCATGGCCTGATCACTTCAAGTACCATTCCGCAAAGGAACCTCAACGGAACCAAGATGAGAGTACCCGAAACCCTAAACCCAAAGCCCTACAAGCCCTACAACAACCAATACGATCTCTCTTTACTATTACAGTCGATGACAACTTGGAGGGTCGAGGGTCTTGCCTGGGTTCAGAATTTACATTGGGCTTAGGCTTGTGGGTTTAGGGTACCTTTGGTTTGCAACAGCGGACACACTGGCTGAGCTTCGGGAAGCGAGCTAGCGCATAATCACATCATGGAACCAGAGCAACTCGAACTCTCCGAGCTGTGGGCTCAGTGTGGCATGTCGAAGGCCCCGAGTGCATGTACCTTTCTGGCAAGCTGCAGTTCCCACAAAGGGGCGTGTTCAACTACATGCAGACGGCCTGTATCTGAAGCTGAAACGAGATCAAGTTACAATTCGAAGTGGATTGGGGTCGAGGGTGGGGGGAGATCGGGTGAGCTGGCCTCGACACTGTACTGTGAGTCGAGGCTAATGGTGAATCTATGTGAACTGAACCGGAGGTGACTCCAGGCCAGCTGAATTGGCAGAATAAGTACGTTTCGGGTGCCTGGTGAGAGCTTACCGAGGCTCTGCAGTACAACGGGCTCAAATCCGGCTGAGAAACCTGACTGGCAACTAAGGTGTGTGGATTTCCACTTTGGATGTAGCCGCACCGTCCGCACCCTCAGATGTTGCAGTCGTTTCCGCTTGGGTGTGCTACTCTTATTGCTGCTATTGCCATATCAGACATGAGCACTCCAACGGGTACCGTGAAGGATACTTTGTTGCGGGATACTTTGAAGGTGTGTACTCTCAAAATACTCTGCGGTAGGAACCCTTCACGTTAAATCCTAAAGCATACCACTGCACTCCGACTACTTTTTTCTCGAGCTGCGAGCTGTACGGGACCGAGGACACGGCCGGTCGGCCATGCCCCTGACCCCTTACTGAGAATTCTCCATAGAGATAGATAGGTAGATAGATAAATAGATCGATAGGTAGGTCGATAGGTCGATGGATCGATAGATAGATAGGCAGATAGGTCTATGGTCATAAACAAGCAATCGCAAAACAACACAAAAATACATACATGCATACATACATGCATAAATGTGTGCATCAATACGTGCACCAATACATGCATGCACAAATACATACATACATACATACATACATACATACATACATACATACATGATAATGGACAGTCGTAGAGTCCTAGGTTCGGAGTAGTGCCGTCACCATCTTCGAGGGACGGAAGGTGACAAGGAAGGCAATGGCATCAAGGTCTAGATAGAACAGGTTGTTGACTGGGTCAAAGGGAACAGCTTACTGTGGAGAGAGATTCGGCATCCAGGTTTCGGGTTCGGCAAAGCTTGAAGTGAAGATTCAACGATGCCAAAGCTTGCATGAACGCGACTCCGTTTTGGAGCCGCCCTGATGACTGAATTCAGAATCCTGTTCGCTGCCTACGTCGTGGCTCGTGATTCGCTTCCAAGGACAAAGGGCCAGGGCCATCTTCACAAGGAGTTGCCAAAACAGTGCTCTTACCTTTGTTTCAAGTTGTGTCTGACAGTCGACACAGCGCCAGAGCGCTCTGCTCCAGAATCAGGGAGGTCCACTTCACGAGGCCTGGCGTGGGCACTCCAAAGACACTGCGAAGCATAGTCTAGGGCTAAAGCCCGGAAACTCTGCACCCCACAGCCCAAAGGCCCTAAAACCCTCAAACCCGAAACCAGAAAGTTCCGGCATTGAGAACGCTTTTGGGATTGTAGTTTCTAGTTTCAAGCTTCCAGATCTGAATTTAACCCAAAACCCAGGACACTGCTACAACCCTGAAATATACGGCAATCCCCAAACTCCACACGCTAGACGGACCCAGTCAGCCCGAACCCCTGAACCCTGAGTTCCAACATCCTGGAGCTTGTTGCAACCTTAGACCCCCAAACCCTAAGCCGGGAAACCTTTAGCACACAGCCCCTAAGCCTCGAACTCTGAAACCCAACAGCTCTAAACCGAAAGGAGATATTCCGAACACCCCCCCACCCTAAAAAGAAACCGGAAAGATCTTTTACCACATGACCGTGTACCCAAGCGTTTTTGGACTCTCTGGATGGAGATAACTTGCGGGCTAGGATGAAGTTACAGACTTTGCCAAGCTTTTCGATAAGATTTGGATAAGCAAAATCTCGAGTACATGCACTGGGAACTAAGTCTCCCCGAAACTGTAGATTCGTGTATTAAGAAGAGAAGAACTCGGCCTGGATCTCGGGTTGGCGCTGCATGTTCCAAACTAAGTCCGCAAAGACAAGCTTTTTTCGAGGTTTCAGATTTCAGATTGAAAAAATCTAGGGTCCAGAATAGGAGACGCAATTGCCAGATCAGACGTTGGCTCTTCAAGGGTACTCTGAGGCGAATACTCTCATGGTAAGCTTCCGGGTCACGGAAGAGTCTCTGGGGTGGGCGCTCCAAAATACCGTGTGGGATCTTCTGGTATAATCTGTGGGTAGGCACTGGCTGAAGGCGAGAGCATCCACAACATGCCCTACCAACTGATAACGTAGCAAGACCTTCTGATCAGTATCGAGCTTACATCTGCAGAGAAAAGCAAGGACAAAGGACGGGCACCTTAACACCCAACAACGCACCACCAACAACGGAGGAAAAATCACTTACATGTCCGGCTGAGCTGCCGGCCACGTCATGCATAGCCTTGAAGGCTTGTGTCTTTAGGTTTCAGGGGTTCACGCATCCTGGGTGCATAAGAATTTCTGACCTCTCGCTTAGCCGACTATGCTCACCGGTGCAGCCGCGGCCACCACGATTCGACAATGATGCTATCTCTGTCAGGGCAGCAAAGCAGCTGTCAACCATCAAAGTCAATACAAGCATACCTACCTGCCTGCCTGCCTGCTTGCCTGCTTACCTACCTACCTTGCCTTACCTGACCTTGCCTTGCCTTGCCTGACCTACCTACCTACCTGCCTACCTACCTACCCACCCACCCACCCACCCACCTACCTACCTACCTACCTACCTACCTACCTACCTACTTACGTACATACATCAGCAGCAGCAGCAGCAGCAGCAGCAGCAGCAGCAGCATCCGCATATTCATCATCATCACATCATCGCCACCAGAGTTACCATCATCATGGTGATGTTCATCAGTGGCTCATCAGCATCATTACCACTTCCGGGTCATCCCTAAACACTGCGGTCAAAAGACATGTCGTCCATCGCTTTCACACCCTGACCACGCCCGTAACCGGTGCAGGTCTTATACGTGAGACCCCAAGCCCGGAACACAAGCCGTACTTCCTCAGCCCTGAGACTGAAACATGCCCTGTGAGCCCAATCCTCCAACTTGCAAGCACAAAGCCAAAGGAATAATCTTGGTCAGCTGGCCTCGGCCGAAGCAGCAAACCTCACGGCTTGCAGCTTCAGCAGTGTTATCTGCAGTTGACAGTTCAAGCATGCTGTCTACTTCGTGCAGCACGGAGGCAAGCAAGCCGAGGGAGTCCCACCACGCCACCTGGAATGGATGCAGTATATAAAGCCGCTACAAAAACGCACTGGGCTGGTACCTCCATGACTCCAAAGCAAGCGTGAAGTGCATACTTGCATTGCCTCTGGCTCCACGGCGCTCCAGCGCTCTTCCTAGCGGGCTGCACCCAGATAGCAACATGCATCTGCACCGCATGTGAGAAGAAAGATAGGCACCGTACTTCACAGCGTAGCACGAGTTCATGTTCATCTGGTCAAGGCCGTGCTCGACCGTTCTCCCGAAAACGGTGCTCCCCCTCTCTGAACCCCGGTGACACCAGTCAGCTAAGCAGAATGCGATACGCCAGCTCCTCGTTCGAGGAGAGAGCTGTCGGCATCTGTAGAACCCCCCCAAACCCTCAACCCTCGGCCCTAGTCCTCCTCCTGTTCGCCCTGAGCTTCCTGGCACACAGAGTTTTCCACAAAGATGCTACAAAGCAGACCGCTTTCAACTGACAGCAGCAAGAGTGGTGAAGGTAGCTGAGAGGGATCACTTCAAGCTTATGCCAGGCGGCCGAAGCAAGACAAGGGCAAAACAGCCCGAAACCAAGAAACAACGAGCCCTTTGTATCCTGTGATCCACACGGAGCCTTCGCTGCTTGGTCGGGCTGCTTGCTGGAGATGTCCTGCTGCGCGTGCAACGAAACTTTCGCGAAAAGACGCTCCCTCAGCACCCTTTCCAGCCCAGCGGAGCAGCTTCCGACACTCAAGTTCGCTGTCGCAGCTACATCGGCAATGAGCTCACTGCACACTTTCTACAAACGGGCACGGCTGCATTGAAGCGGCCGCATGGATCAGACATGTGCTGTCAGAGACTAGCTGCTCCTCGAGAGATGCCAGGGGCCAAGGCACAGTGTCCGATGCCTTGTAATCCTCCGTCTCCCCGTAATCCCCGTAGACAGTGTGGTGCCGTGGCGGTGCGACCTGCGGCATCTGTGAAGCAGTCTGCCCACTACCACGTCATACCTGCGGCTAGGAAGCAGTTCGATTTCTGAGACTGCATATTTGGGTGGATGTGCCCCCATTCCCACCTGATAAGGCCTGTTTTGCAGCCATGAGCCGACAGACCTCAGAAGAAAGGCAGGGCCAGGTCAACGACAGGAATGCTCCTTATGCCCGGCTGCTCTCTATCGCAAGCCTGAAACCTAGAAACAGAGAAGTCAAAGATGAACACACCATGATGATAGCAATGGTGACGGTGATGGCCACAGTGACGGCAGCGAAGTCGTCATGGTTTTCATGGGTGCTCGAAGGGACAGTGAGGGGCCGGAGAGGCAAGTACTCAAAATATGAACACGGCAAGTACATCAGCTGAGTGAGGCGCGGCTTGTATCTGAAGGCCGTGCCCTGAGAAAGCTGAGCCATCTCCGACTTCCCTGGCGGATCCCCTGGCCAGGAAAGCTCCACAGTCTGTCAGCAACTCATGACGGCTTCGATCGTCGACCTTCTTTCAACTCCTTCTCCAGGATACCATTCATGGAAGCACGCAGCAACGTGCCGTGAGCCTGCCGGCGCATACATCTCTCTGTCTTGCAAAAGATCCACCCTGCTACAAGCAAGCCAGGTCGCGATGCCTGGACTCGCAAGTCTTCGACTTTGTCCTCGACAGGATACATCAAAGAAGCACACTTCGATGGGCAAACCTTCTCTTCGTGCGGACAGGTGCCTGGTCCTTCGGGCTTCGCAGCACGGCCGTCAACGACCCATGGGGTGATCCCTGCAGAAGTGTGGCTCTCGCCTGCACCCACTTGTTGCCCCTCCGTTCCCATGTGTTTATATTCCAGATGGACTGCATCTACAAAGAGACCAAAGGCCAACGATATCTTGCCTGTCGCATGGCTCCGTCCTGGCCAAAAGAACACTGGCATCCTTGCCCTGTATTCACAGGAGATCGTAAAGGACAGACCCTATCATCAGACAGGCTCTGGGCCATGATTCTACACAGCAAAAACAAACTCCGGGAAGTAACATAAAATGCTGACAATGGAGATAGCTTCAACAAAAGCGATGAAACCAAGCATGGACATACGTCTTACATTAAAACGTGCCGGATCTATGCTGGTCTCGCATTAGTGGTCACCTTGCGATAGGCGAGTGTAAATGCCCAAGGTTTGCCATGCCTTTTCTTGGAAATCAAGATACATATCGAAGAACTATTCAAAAGAATACCTGCATATACCCAGGCTTCTAACTGGACAGTCGAGAGACTGTTGAACTGTTGGACAAGTTGGGAGGTCTCCCGTACCCAAGAAAGTTTGTTGAACAGAACACGATGCATTAAACACGAACGAAAATGGACTCGGAAGACCTGCACTGGATCTACAGCTTGCATGTCCTCGAGATACTGAACATACTCTTCTCATCTCAGTACGAAGACTGACAAAAAGGAACTTGGAGCGCCAAAATGTAAAGATTCAGACTTGCAAGACATTTGGCACCCACTTATGCACAGGTAAGCATATGCAGAACCCATCATCTTCGTACCTCACTTTGCTCCACTTGAAGAAACATGTCGAGGTACAGGCTGTCTCAATATTGAACTGCGCATTCCTAGCTAGGCCTGGAGCTTGGACGTAGGTGCCAGGGCAATTGTCAGGCAAAATGGCGAGAAGCATTTGTTGAGGCGACGCAGACGCATATTACCACCACCTTAACCCGATTACACCCACAAACCCCGAAAAACGGAACGCTGAACCCCAATTAATCACAAAACATCCCCAAACCCTACACCACCAAAGAAGCACAAAACCCCAAATCGCGAAATCCAAACCCTCCTGGTGCACTGATTGAGAAGCCTACAGGCCTCAAGAGGCTCAGCAGCCTGGACTGGCCAACATCATGGCGAGCCCCTCGCCCCCGAACTATGAGCCTGGAGCCCTTAATCGTAAAATCCTGGAGCCACAGATCCCAAAGGCCTGCCAGACAACGTCCCACTGCACTATCTTGGGATACAAGGTCAAGGAGGCGCTGCCTCGCGGAAGCACGCGCATGCCACATCCAAACTTCACAGACGTATCCGTACACACCCTGAGTATTATCATTATTCGCAAAGACCCTGATAGAGCCATTTTGGAACCCGGTTCTTTGAAGAACCCCAAGCCGTCATTGACAATCCCAGATCCTCAGCAAAATCCATGTCACCACAGTCTATATAGGGCCGCTGCAGCTGCCCGCCGGCGCAAAGCGCTCGGCTAAGGCGCGCGCCGCAATCACCTGCCTTGAAGTCGCCCTCGCGCAAGGGATCCTCACACATGAAGGTGCTCAGGTGACGACTCGGAGGGCACAAAGCGACTGGAGGAAAAAACTCTCGGCTGCAGCCTTGCCAGCCCCAGGGTAGGTCAACGTCCTGCAGCAAGTAACCGTCCCCGAGCTTACGGTTTCGATTCTGGCCCGGCGGATTAGCCACACACCAACGCGCGGCACTAACTCGGACCTCCGGGCGCTCCCTCCAGCACACTCGAGGGAAGTCACAGATCGGGACGTTGTCACGAATCGGCTTGATGATGGCACCTGAGCAGGGAAGACGTTCGGATTACGCCTTGGCAGCCTGAGGACTGCGTGGAGCACCGCCACTCCGAGATCAGGCCAGAGGGCCATTTCGCGAGCGCGGCTACTCAGCTACGCAACGCGATGTAAGCCGCGACACCACACGGATGCTCATGAAGAGAACTGTCGACATCGATGAATCCCAGCCGTACCGAAACCTCAGACTTCCCCGACATCCGCTGCTACATTACCACCAAGCTACTGAAGTGTGCACCATGGCACTTAGCAAGCCTCCGAAAAATACATTGTTGAAAACCACAAGTAGAACCAGGTCCTGAGGTCCTAGCGAAGTCCCAGACAGTCCACTGGAAGTCCTTTGCACGCGCACAACGCATCCCATCGTTCAGACAGCAATGCACATGCTTACACTGCTTTCCTGAGAGTCATGACCCACAGAATCTCTGACAACCACTTCTGGACTAGGTTCCTTCCGAATTCGGCAAGAGCAAAGCAGCCATGACGGCAGGCAATCATGTGCCTTGGCCCCCGACCAGGTGAAGCAGGCGTGTAGAAGAAGAGGGGTCGAGACGAGACATCGGTCACCTCCTCGGCCACAGTGACGGCAAGAGTGCACAGACGAAGGTCAGGTGCCAAGGTACCCGATCCGAGCATACCTGAACCCACTAAAATGCAGATGCATCCCTTCCCAGAGACTGCACTGCTATCAAATACTTCGCTGAAAACGGCCTCGACACAGATCAACATCCCGGCCATTGCAAGATAGAAGCAGTCGCACGGTGGACCGGCGAGGGCTCGAGCTTCCTCACGAGTGACAGCGCGCCCAAGCTGGAGCCAAAGACCACCACCTTCCTTACCGAAGAGCTTCTGATATTTCATGACCGACATGAATCGTTGGGACCCTTCAAACCTGAAAGCACAGTGTGCATGCAGAACATTTGCTTGAAGCATAGGTGGAAAGGATTTCGAATCTCGGAGGCCAGCTACCCTTCAGTATCACCTGGAGCATGCCTAGCCCACTACCAAGGCAATACTGTCAAGCATAATCGCTCCGTACGTTTGCATAGCAAATACCAATTGGCAAGCCGCCGACACTCGTGCTCCTTCATGACTCCATCCACATCGTACCTCTTGAGAGATCAACAATTTGAACCTTTCATGCAGCACTTACAACATGACACAACATGCAATGCCGGCGATAAATGTTTGCACAGCCCTGACGGGGGGGCGGCTTTATGCCATCCAGATTGTCGTTGATCGACGTGTGTCCAAGCTTGACCTTAATTGGCGCGAAAACAAGCATGGTTTCACTGCTTTTTCCCCAAGCAATGATGCTTTGCATCCGTTTGCGTCGATGTCATAAGCTCCGCACACCTGCGAAGGCAGTGGCGCAAACTGCGCCCAGCTTCACCGTCCTGCGCAAGAGATACAGGACTCCAACGCATGGAAACAATGGAAACACCAAGCTATTTGGCTATGTGATGGCAACCTTGTCCCGTTATTTGCTATTTTCACCTGGCAATATCTGGGGTCCGATCAGTCTTCATGCCTCATTCCCCCAGCAAGTGACTGTTCGAAATCATCTGTAGTGCACGGCACATGTGCTCACGCCTGCGAGCAAGTCGGCGGAACATGGTGTGCTGTGCTGATTGCACCGAGCTTGCCCCACTGCTTGAACCAAAGGCTGCTAGGACCAGGCAAAGGCTTCATGCTCGCCGGAGCTTCAGATCTGACAGCGTCTGATGCAATGTAAGGCTGCCGCGTTGAAGGTAAGCCACGGCGAAGTGGAAACCCCTGGCACATGGCAGCCACATGCCCGCCTCAATGCTATGCCTGCAACAGCTCCGTAAGCAGGGTCTCGATGTGCAGTCAGTATGTCCTGAAATACTGCGTTTATCTACAGTTCTCGGCAGGTGTGGCTGCTGCTACGAACCCATCGCCTGGGACAAGATCCAATGGTCAGAGGACTCGTCGAGCTGCTTCCAGCCTCGGTGTGTTGTGCTATTTGTGCTTCGTACATGGCTTTCTATATCCATCTACACCAGTGTTTTCATAGCAGTTCTAGCTTGATCGGATCCGGAGATTCGAAGCTAAGTGCATTCCGTGGTGTACGAGTTTGCACGTTTGTAGTGTGCCGGCCATCGTCTTTCACCTGGTCATGAGATTTCTGTGTGATGTGCTCACTCGACTGCACTGCTGCGGTCCAGACGGATCCGGGGCCGGCAGGTGCCAAATGTGCTGGCTAGAGGTGAACCCAACAAGACTTCTCACATGTGCACATTGCATACACCGACAGCTAAAAGTCTGTGTATCCATGTGATCACTGGGGCCAGCCGTAGTCAGCTTTGCAGTCCACCCCCCCTTCTACGGAGGTGAACACGATGCATTGTTGATTAGTACGCAATTGAACAGTAAGACACGCGCCCTCTTAGCCTCCCACTTCCCAGTCAGGCCGAGCTGGGCCCCGAGACCTGAAATTGCTGTGCCACAGTATCGTCTATGCCTGACATGATAGCCCCCTGCGACACAGATGCTAGAACAGAAACTGGAGCCTCTCGCGCCACTTTAAGCACCTGGGATTGTACTGTCAACGATCTTCTGTCTCCCTCGACTTAGATATTGCACCCACAGATCCGTTTCAGTTTTTCGAAGTTGGGATCCAATGCAAAATGCTGTTAATCCGGCATAAAGCAACACGTAAGACTGCATGACGAGGTCGAAGACAATATATACCCGTACGATATGCAAGCAAATGCAATTCTTGCCTGTGCGACTGTATGATAACGGTTGATTGGATCCTCAACCGCTCAGACATCAAGTCTTTATTGTAATGCGCTAGCTGAGGGTTCGGTTGCAACGATCCGCTTCAAGAACCCGGAAGAGGTGCCAAATTACCAGGTTCCAAAATGTGGCTTCGTGCCTGGGGAGATCCCCCTTGCTACGTAGAGCCGTGTGGGGGTGGCCGAGCACCCACCTCGCTGCGCTGCCGTTCTAATCGGACGAGGCCGAGGAAGCCTGATTCAATCGAATCCAGATCTTGGCCTTTGAATCCTCAACCATGAACCTCCGAAGTCTCCAACCCTTTGCATCCGCTTGACGGCGCGAGTGGCCGTCAGCGCCGAAATCAACAAACTCTGATCGACCAGGAGCTGAAACAGGTTTGGATGCTCGTGCGAGGGCTGGGACCCTGATCGGATATGCATCGCAACCGAGTCTTCAACACCTCGACCACCTAATGTGAGGCGCCGACGATGACACAATGATTCCCACCTCGGGAAGCAAATGCAGCACCATATATGTAACACGAAGGACCACTTGGACAAAGGTGCTCAGGTACCTCAAAGGTACCTGACGTTGGTCGTTCAGGTACCGACAAAATCTGTCTCTGGGCCCCGCGAGGTCCTCAACTGAAACCCGTTTCTGCCGGACCAACCCCATCTCAAGGGTCAGAACCTCAGAGTGAACCCAAAGAGCTAGAAAAGACCTTGCTTCAAAGTGCCGAATGTCTGCTTTGGGATCTGAGGTTTCTTGGCGATTTGTGGTTGTAGCACGTTTACCTCACGTTCCACGGGGGCTTTGAATCGCAAAGGCCAGCAGTTCAATGTTGCCTGGAGCTCGCAACTTAAAGCTTGGTGCACTTCTCATAAGTTGGGGGTAGACTTGGGGCATACGCCTTAGCTGGGATTTGAACTTTCACGGCTGCTTGAGCACTTTTTCTTCTCACAAGTCGCTACTCGCAGCCTAGACTTCTAAAACTGAAATTAAACCCCGAGGTCTTTGTGTCGCTGCACAGCTGTGAGAAGCTTGGCGACGGCACGGTGAAACTTGGCTAGACCTTATATGATGGATATTAATAATTACTATCCCTACCTCTCGCTGGTGGCAATGGTAGCAGCGGTACCAGCCTAGGTGGTAGTGGCACTGCATAAGCAAGGGCAGTAGCGGTAGCACCAATCGCGGTGGTACTAGTGGTAGTAGTAGTAGTAGTGGT